ACAGATGCCTCAGTGGACACCTGTGTGGTCTTGTGGATGCTGTTTCTCCTGCAGAGCACCCTTTCCTATTCCCAGCACTCCTTCAAAACCCGGTTCACTGGGGAGGGAAGGAGGGGTTAAAGGGAGGGCAGGAGAATGGGAATGGGGATGAAAAACAAGCAAACAAGACAAGTGACATTTTGTACAGGTACAGCTTCACTACGATGAATGTGAACATTGTGTGTATCTAAAATGTACCAATAGCCAGGCATGGGAGCACACACCTGTAATTCCAGCACTCAGGAGGCTGAGACAGAAGGATCATCACAAGTTCGAGACCAGCCAGGGGCTTCAAAGTGAGCTCAAGGCCAGCCTGAACTGCGTAGGGAGACCCTGTCTCAAAAAAATAAATAAAATGCATTAATAAAATCTGGTTGAGGAAAAAAATACAAAACTAGATTGTCTTTCTCCTCTGTAGCATGCCACAAAAAAGGAAGAAAGAAACCAAAGCAGGTTCCATAACAAAAAAGTAAGTAGGTCATTAGGTAGAAAAATAAAGTGTTTTCAGAAAAGGACATATTAAAAACCTTCTAGGGGCTGGGATTTAGCTCAGCGGCATAAGCATCTGCCTTACAAGCACGCAGTCGTGAGTTTAATTCCTGGTGCCAAAAAAAAAAAAAAAAAAAAAAGGCCTTCTAGTCTCAGATTTACATTATTTCAATAAGGCCCCAGACTAGGGGGCTTTTTCAGACTCCATTTTTTCCAGTGCATGGACATGGAGAGGTTGTGACTTAGGGTCTCAGCACCATCCTTGAGCAATCTCCAGGGTTCCTAAGGTAGCTCCATCCCCTCTCCACGGACAGGCCAGACACAGGGTCCCAGTGTAGAACCTCAGCCCAAGCACCCCCTCCAGGAGGCTTGATGAAGACGAGGAGCACACATGTGCACAGCGGGCCTCCTGGCGCCATCACCGCTTGGAGCTGTGGTCACTTCAGTGTCCTTTGCCTGCGTTCATGGACCACAGTGACACATCTTATTCCTTTCTAAGCTTTGCTGAGAGATAAGCTCGCCCATCACATAAAATCCACGTTGTAAAAGCACGCCGTTCCGTTGTTGATTTATTCACAAAGGGATGCGGCCGTCCCTGTTCTCTGTCACAGAGCAGTGACATCGCTCTGGAAATGCAGCACCCCCAGAGCAGCTGCCTCCAGCGACGGCTGCCCCTGACCTCTGACAGCCACTGACCTGCATCCTGTGTGTGTGAGCCAACTGTTCTGGACATTTTACGTAAACAGAATTATACCATAGGCGGCTTCTGATGATCCAAGGCCCATCCTCCTGTGACCTGTGATACTCCTTAACCGGGATGATTGTTGTTTTTAAAGAGAGAGAGAAAACAATACTTCAAAACATGAGAATAAGAGGGTAACCATGGTATATACATTGCATATTGTTATCTTCAAATCAGTTACTCAGGATACAAGACATTTGCATTTAATTGTCCGGACAATACTAGCACAAACCTTTCTCTTCAATGAACTCAGAGAAATCAGTAGTGTAACTATCTTAACCATCTTTCACATATATAAATTGTTTCAGCTTCTCACACTAGTGAGACAACGCTATGTTTACACGTGTCTGATTTTACTTGTGAGTATGGTCTCAAGCTGCATCCCTTAACCTGTAAAAGTCTCCAGTTTATCCTTTATGGCTGAATAGTATTCCATTATATAAAATACCACATCTTTTTTGTCCATGCCTCAGTCGATGGGCATTTAGATTGTTTCCAAGATCTAGCTATTACAGATTGTGCCACTAGAAACATATATTGCTGTGGTATGATGTTTTTAATTCTTCTGGGAAGATACCCAGAAGGGGAATAACTGGGTCAAATGACACCTCCACTCCTAGTTTTTTTGAGAAATCTCCACACTGATTTCCATAGTGGTTGTACCAGTTTGTACTGCCACAACAGTAGAGAGGGGTTCCTTATCCCCACAGCCCCTTCAGCATTTGTTATGGGTTGCTTCGTTTATGATAGCCATTCTTTTAAGGATGAGATGGAATCTCAGTGTTTTAATTTGCATCTTTCAAATGACCTGTGATGCTAACCACTTTTTCACATAGTTATTTGCTGTTTGTATTTCTTCCTCTGAGAAATGTGTATTCATCTCAGATGCTCATTTTTGGATTGGGTCTTTAAATCTGGAAGGACAGATTTTTTTTTTTTTTTAGTTCTTTGTATGTTCTCGATAGCTAATCTTTTGTCTGAGAAACAGCTGGCAAACATCTTCCACATAATGAGTTGTGTCTTCACTGTGTTGGTGGTTTCTCTTGCTGTGCAAAAGCTTTTTAATAAGATGACATCCCCGTTGTTGAGGCTTTGTGACAGTGCCTGTGCAGTCAGAGTTTTGTTCATAAAGTCTTTGCCTACACCAATGTCTTCAGGAGTTTTACTCTTAACTTCCAACAGATTTATTGTTTCTGTTTTAATACTTAGATTTTTGATCCGTTCCTAATTTAGTTTAGTGCATGCTGAAAGATCTTGCCTAGATTATTATTGAATCGTTTATCTGTTGCTGGGCATTGGTGCCTTTCCTTCGGTAGGCTACTTGGAATGACACTGCAGTGAGCATGCATGCACAGTTTTTTGCTGTGGGTTTATGTTCCCATTTCTCTTAGAGGTATAGCAAGGATTGGAATTGCAGGCTTATGTGGTGCTGAGAGCCTGCAAACTTTTCCACAATGGCTACTCCTACCAGCAGTATAGGAGGGTCCCTTTGCCCACATCCTCACCAACACTTGTTGGTTTGTGTGTTTTTTGTTTTGTTTTATTTGAGGCAGGGCCTCACTCTGCAGCCCAGCCTGGCCTTGAACTCATGGCAGTTCTCCTGCCTCAGCCTCGAGAGTGTATAACGGGCGTTTATCACCACATCCGGCTGTCCATTTTTAAAGTAGATTGTTCCTCTTTTTATGCTGTAATGTGAAGGAGTTCTTTGTATGGTCAGATACAATTTCTTTGGAACACATGATGTTCAAATATTTCCTATTCTGTGAGTTGTCATCTCACTTTGTTTATTTTTTTATTTTTTAACCTCAAATTGAACTCAGGACCCTGCATTTGTTGGGCAGGTGCTGTGCCACTGAGCCACATCCTCGCCCACCACAGATACTTTTGATTTTGAAATCCAATTTCCATAGTTTTTTTCTTTTTGTTGCTTCAGGTTTCGATATCATTTTCAAGAAACTGTTGCCTAATCTAAGGTCATAAAGCTGCAGTCCTGTTTTCCTCTAAGAGTTTTGTGGTTTTGCCCTACATTTAGATCTGTGCCTACTTTATTCCAGCTGCCCAGTGCCTAGACTAATACCTCATGTCCAGGAATCACCGGTACTGTCCTTGGTGGGACAGTTGAATGAATGAATGAATGAACGAGCAGGCACCTTCCTGTGCTAGTCTGGGCTAGTTATGCTAACAGTTGGGAAACGCTTTGTGTTGGGCCGGGAGTGTAGTTGGGAGCAGGCAGGACTGTCACATACCATGTGCGAGGCTGTGGGTTCAATCCTCAGCACCACAAAATGAGGGGCGCGTACCCCGAATTGGGACACCAGTTTGTCCTAACACCACCACCGCCCCTGGAGCCTCCCATGGTGAGCTCCCACAGTTCTTTTTCTGCCACCTCCTTCTATTTTCTTTCCATTTGCTTCTGTTTTGTTTCCCTATTTAACAAAATCTCAATAAAATGTTTTCTAAACAGTAGCTGATGGTAGATATGGAAGCAGGATTTTTCCGTGCTAAAATCTTTGTTGTGCTATTTGGGGGGCTGGTCTTTCTTGTGTTAGATGTATAAAATTCAGATAATGTGGCAGTGTATATATCACAAAGGCTTATAGTCTTAGCGGTGCTCCTTGGGTTAGTTGTTATGCCTGGAACTTTTGTGTGTGTGTAGAAAGAAGGCAAAACAGGGCTCCGTGGAGTAAACACCTACCTGGTAAGTGGGAGGTCATGAGTTCGAGCCCAGTACCCACCACCCTGCGAAAAAGGAAGGCAAAATAATTACTGAATTTAAGTGAAGGGCACTTGGGAGTTCTTTGTACCACCATTCCAACAACATTTTTAGGATTTTTTTGTTGTTGTTTTTCAAAAAGTTGGCACTCACTGGATGTGATAGACCACGCCTATAATCCTAGCATTTGGGAGGCTGAGGCCAGAGGATCGATGTTAGTTTGAGGCCAGCCTGGGCTACAGTGAGTGCAAGGCCAGCCTGATGTACAGAGTGAGACGCTGCCTCAAAAAGACCAAAAAAAAGGAAGAAAAAAAAAATCCCACACGCAGAGGAAATTAGCAGTGCGCACTGACAGATTACTGTCTGTGTGCTACATTTGTTTTCTTCCAGCACTTAGATTTGAACCTAAGACCTCACACATGCTAGTGCTAGGCAAGTGCTGTACCACCCAGCTACCTCCCCAGCCTTTCCTTTTTCACTTTTACTTTTATTTTTATTTTGTTGAGGCTGAGTCTTGCTGTACGGCTCAGACTGGCCTTGAACTCACTGTGTAGCCCAGGCTGGTTTTAAAATCACAGCAATCCTCCGGGTGGGCTCCCTAGCCCTTGTATTTATTTTGAGACTGGATCTTGCTAAATTCCCCGGCTCAGTTTGAATTTATGATCCCTCCTGCCTCGGCCTCCTGAAAGCCAGAAAAGCATGTGCCACTGTACTCAGCCATGAGCTCCACACTCTGCCTACGTTTTTCATGTGGTCCTGGGCTGTGGAAGAGGAAGCAAGAGGAAGATGGGCGCCCATCAGGACTGGGCTGAATATCGGAAAGAATTTAGATGTGGTCTCTGGCCTCTAGGCTTTCCTTCTTGTGTGGTCTGCATATCTTATATCGCAAGCCCTTCCCAGGAAATGCATGGCTTCCTGTCTCTCTGACCACTTACTGATGCCTCAGTAGCCTGGGGCATCTGAGGCTCTCCAGAGGCAGCCAGCCCTGACCCCCTTCTGCCCTGCCTGTCCCCCCAGGAACTGAAGCTGCCCACCTTCCGAGCCCACTCCCCGCTCCTGAAGAGCCGCCGGTTCTTCGTGGACATCCTGACTCTCCTGAGCAGCCACTGCCAGCTGTGCCCTGCAGCCCGGCACCTGGCCATCTACCTGCTGGACCACTTCATGGACCGCTATAACATCACCGCCTCCAAGCAGCTGTACACTGTGGCGGTCTCCTGCCTCCTGCTAGCCAGTAAGTGTAGACCCATTCCTCCCTCCGCACCAGTCAGCCTTTCAGTGGGCTTTGCACATCTTCTGTGTTCATCCTTTGCTTCGTGCGAATGCTTGATAATTGCCAGCATTTTTAGCGTGTGGAATGCTAAGTGGTAAGGATTTTAGCAACTTGATCTAAATAAAGGCTAGGGGAGTATCCCAATGCAAAGCCCTGGGTCCACTCCCTTGTGCATGGAAAGAAGGGGAGAGGGGGAGAATGGGGCATAAGGAAAGAGAGAAGGGAGGGAGGGTTAAAGGAAGGAAAGAAGGGAGTCCGTTGCTGTGGGTTCCCAGCTAATACACAGCAGACAGATTGGAGACCGGAAGTGCATGATACCAGGGCTGCGCGCTTAACCTCTTGTCTCCACTTCTTGGAATCCTGGGAGGAATCCTAGCAACCAGTGTTCTGAGATGTGGTTAGAAATACAGCTGCTTCAGTTGGCCCTAAGCAAGACCCATTATGTAGTCCCGAGGCCTAAGCACAGCCCCCTCACAGTGAGGCCTTGCTTAAGGCACAGCCTGGCTGAGGCCATCTGTCCGCCTTGGGCAGGGTTACTGTTCACTGTGCTCCTGTGTGAACGCTGTCCTTAGGATACAGGGCTGCCACACCACTGCCACAGGGCCTGGGGATAAGCACCAACCTTCAAGCTCTGGCCTCTCTGACCCTGTGCCTTTTTCCTCTCCACCCTCTGAGTTCCAGCCCTGCTGGTGGAGCCCCTTCCTGTCCAGAGCTTCTCATGAGCTGTTCTCTCTGGCTGGGTGGCTTTTTGCTGCCTTTGGCCCCTGAACCTGGTGCAGTGTCCCTGTGGGCCCACACTCTGAAACCTTCCCACCCTGCCCTCCACAGGTCGGGATTCCTGCCTACAGACCTGTGGCATCATGAGCTTGAATGCTCACCTACCACTGCCTCTAGCCAGTGAGTTTCAGGAATAGAGAAAGGGGCTTGGCATTTAGTAAGACCTGGCAAAGCAGTCTGCGATGGGGGCAGTACCGGCTTCTGCACCTCTCTAGGTTGTCCTTACTATGGAGTAGAAAAAGGCCCCAAAGGCCGCAGGCTCTGAGTAGCCAGCTGCAGTGCAGACCTTTCTTCGGCACCTAATGTTTTATCTTTAGATTTCCATCAGATCTTTCACTCCCCACCACTTCCCGGTACCCCTCACTGTGTTATGGTCCTGCTTTACTGCATTTGTGGGCTGATGGCTCCCATTTTCTGCTGTGGCTCTCTCTGCTCCTGACTGTGAATCCCCGCCAGCACCAGCTCCCAGCTGGAGAAGCACACTTTAGAGCTGTCCAAGTCTCCTGGTCTCCACCTGGAGCCTTCTACCGCTGTTGGTTACGGTCTCTTTGAATGCTATGGTTTGCTCTCCCACTCTCTGAGACTTTTCCCTGCCTCCAGCCAGCTGTATGTCCTAGGTTTTGCATTCGACTCGGGCTCAGTGGGAATGCAGCCTGTGTGCCACTTGAAGACCCAAATTAATATGCATTCCCTTCCACTTGCGGGGGACACACAGGGCTTGCAAGACATCAGCGAGGGCAGAACAGGCATCACATTTCAGACAGCGCAGTGGGGGGAACCTGTGGGCTGCCGCTGTCTGTGATCTGTGGGCTGCGTCCAGGCTGCGGGGGCCATGGCCTTGTATTTCCCAGGGGATGGTGGCAGCTCTCCCTAAGCGTCTGTCTGGGGCCCAGGACATGAGGCACACGTTGGAGACTCTTTTGTGCTGCTGTCGCCATGCCAGAGGGCTGGGGCCTTCAGATGAGAAGCAGATGCCCCCACCCACACGTCTCTGGGCTCAGCCGCCTGGGGCGGCAGGGACAGATTTTCAGCACACCTGCCAGATGGTCCGGAGGCCTGAGGAAAGAAAAGTTTCCATGACAGCCTGAAACCCTATTCATCCTTCCCACCTCATCCCTGGCTGACGGGCCACCGTAAGGGGGTCACCTTGCCTAGGGACATTTGGAGTTGTGCTAATTTAGACCCAAAGTATTGTGAGGTAAGAGCTGAGATTCTTGCCCACCTGTCAGTACCCAGCTTCCTCAAGCTGCTTCCAGACAAGGGCTTTGGTAGAGGTGGAACCTCCTTACCCGCCCTCAGGCCCACCTGTCCTCAGTCCCACCTCGCCCTGTAACTCAGGAATCAGACGGGCCCGCGTCCACAAGCCCACTGCAGGGAGTCAAAGCCAGAACTCCTAGGTTGTTGCACAGAGGACACTAGGCAAAGCCACCCCTTTGTCTGGGTGACTGAGCTAATTGCATCCCCTCCCTGAGCAGAGGATAGAATTGCAGACTGCAAGATGCAAGTATACTGTGCCTACCGGAAGGCCGTTAGTCATGTGCAGCACCCCATGACTGTCCTGTGGCTGCTTTTGTTACTTTCTTAGAAGGATGGTTTGATGGTGTGGAAAGCCCAGGATTCCAGGTGAGCTGGCCTTCATGGTGACAGTTGTCCTCACAGAGGCCACCGCTCCGCACTGTGCTTGACCTGGGGCCAGCGCTGTGTATGCTTGGCTCTGAGGCCTCGGCTCCAGCTTCTGTGGTCCTGCTCTCAGATACCCATTTTGTAGAGTTAGAGAGGCCAGCTAACCTTGCAAGGTCATACCACTTGGTGCTTTTCTTTTTCTTTTTTAAAACTGAGGTATCCTGTCAGGTGTGGTGGTGCATGCCTATAATCCCTACACTTAGGAGGCTGAGGCAGGAGGGTTGCTGCCAGTTCCAGGCCAGCCTGAGCTACAAAATGAGCCCAAGGCCAGTGTGAACTGCATAGCGAGACCCTATCTCAAAAGGACAAAAAAAAAAAAGAAGAAGAAGAAAGAAAGTCAGAAAGGTAAGAGTAGCCTTTTTGCTGAGGTTCCATGCCTCAAGTATGATGCCTTATTATTGTGCAGGAAATAAGAGATACAGGTCCGGTGTGGTGGTGCACCTCCATAATCGCAGAGACCAGGAGGCTAAGGCAGGAGGATCACCATGGGTTCAAAACCAGCCTGAGATACCTAGTGAGTTTAAGACCAGGCTGAACTACAAAGTGAGATCATGTCTCGAAAAACAAAAAAATAAATAAAAAAAGAATGAAAGAAGTGTGAGATGTTTTTATTGTTAAAAAAAAAATCCAAAGCTTATAGAAGTACCAACTATAAAAACTTAACTTTCCAGGGGGGCTGGGGATTTAGCTCAGCGGCATAAGCAGCTGCTTTGCGAGCAGACAGTCGTGGGTTTGATCCCCAGTACCGATAAAAAGGAAAAAAAAAAAGTGTAAAAAAAATTACTTTCCCCCATTCACAGCCCCGTCCCCACAGTTTGGTGTGCATCTTTGCAGATACAGATCTTCTTGTGTGTGTTTATAACTGGGAGAACCATTTTCATTCGGGATTTGGGGGGTTATATGCATGTGAACTGCCCTGTGAATAAAATGCTGGACACCCATTCTTCCTCACCGCTTCTAATCCCTGCACCATCACACTTCCTCCTGGCTAATTTGTGTTTTCTCTCCTTGTCATTTCCCGGTCCCACTCCCTCCCTGGGAAAAGTTTCTCACTGCCTAGTTGTTTTCCTCTGACCTGGAGGCTTCTGGTCCAAAAAGCAGTGGAAAGTGGGGGTAACAGATTCATCTGCTTCGGGAGGCAGAGCTGTGACTTCTCGCTCTTACAGGTGCCGCTGGGCCCTTTGCTGGCCTCTCTGCCTCCTTCTTCCTCCCAGGAGGAGGTGGCCTCTCGGCCAGGAAGGCACCCCACTTCCAGTCCTGATCCCCTGCATTCGGAGCTCCCTCATCCCAGAGCAGGGCTGTGATGCCACGCTGCGCTAACCTCTAGAGGCCCAACTTCTGACTGCAGGTTTTCCCGACCGTGCACTCACTTATTAATGGAGACCAGAAGAAGAAAATAAAATCTGCTTCCCATCCCGTACTTCTACTTCCGGAGTCTTCCAGAATGCTCTAGGATCATCTCCTGGAACCGTTCTGTGCACACACACAGTCAGTCCTTATTATTCATAGATTCTGTACTCAGCAATTTACCTATTCGCTAATTGTTTTTTCTCCTTTTATGGCGCTAGCAGTACAACCCAGAGCCCTAAGGCATGCTAGGCAAGTGCTCTACCACTGAGCTCTATCCCCAGCGCTTTGCAAAATTCCTTTAAGCCCAAATCAGTGGTGGTATTTTTCAGTCCTTCACAGACAGGTAACAATTCATGCTGCCCTGTGTGCATATTCATTCCCAGCTCAGGTGGATGAGGCTGAGGGGCTCTGCCTTCTTTAGTCCTGTACTATCAATGTGTGTGTGTGTGTGTGTGTGTGTGTGTGTGTGTGTGTGTTTACAGGGAAACTCTGTTCTGGCCCCATTGTGGTTGTGGTGCCTCTGGCTGTGACAGGCAGTGCTGACAAATTAATGATGTGGTCCATTAAAGAGAAATACTAAGGCAAAGTTGGGATTGCTGAATTGAAAAAATGTTGCCGTCAGAGACTTGTGGGACCCTAATTCCTTTTCTTTCCCTTCCCTAGAAGCAGTAACTCATTCATCACAAATTTCCTAACTTGGTTCAAGGTGACTTTGTAACCACCGCATCTCACAAAAGTCATGGATATGATATGAACAAATGCACCTGAGTGCTTTCATACAGCAGGGGCCTTCTTTCCAGGACCCTGGGGAGCATCTTCCCCAGCAACCCGTGCAGATGTAACCCTTACTGCTTTTATTGATTGTGGATGCTTCATTTCGTTTATTTTGCGATTCCACTGCTGAGGGCCCTCTATGTAGCCATCCATTGTTTTCCCTGCCGTGCACAGTGTGACAGCAGCTGTCTTTCTCCCTGGCCTTGCACACAGCTGTGAACCCACCTGTGAGCTGAGCCCCCAGAGGTGGAATTGTTTTCTTCAAAGAGTCGTGTGTTCAGGATTTGGTTGGGTAGTGCTTAATGGCCTTGCAGAGGTTTTAACTCAAGGGAGAGCTGACCGCATTGCTTTTCTCTTAATTGAATTGAACCTGGGGA